CTTAAAGGCCTTAAACCCGGTCAACAAATTTGAGCCTCTATTATTTTTACAATAGTATCAATGATAATTATTATTGTACTCCATTCTTTTTTGTAACTCATATTAAATGTGATTTATTAGTTTATTATTACTATTATTCTTTATGACGTATCTATTTTTCTTTTAAATTGTATACTCCGTATTATATAATATACTAGTACCCGTGTCTAAGATCCGGATAGAGTCTTCGTATCCTAATTTTTAGGAGATGCTGTACCAGACACTTGGATCTGTACCCATACCCAATCTCCTAAACGAGTATACTTATTGTGGAATTTAACAATTTACTTGGGGCAATATGGTCATTTAATACTACGCTTTTGGTGTTTTTTATGGTGGAATATTAGGAGATATTTGTTTAGCAGAGTGGTATGAGTTTGAAATCAAGAACTAGCCTTCTGGCCCGTGCAATGCATGGGTTATTTATATAAAATTGTATTGAGATAAGTGAGAAAATATCAGTAAGTCATTATAGGGTATAATATGTGATCGAAAAATTGTATTGAGAGACAAGTGAGGAAATATCAGTAAGTCATTATAGGGTATAATATGTTATCGGAAACATGATTAAAGAAATTAAAATTTTGGAACTTTATTCGAAAAAGAGGCTTAAATAGATGGTGGAAGGGCTAAAATTAAAGAGAGAATAGGAAAAGGTTGAATTAAAGGAGAGAGATGAAGTGTGTATGAATGATGAAGTATAAATTTAATGAAAGAATTAAAAAAATGGTGTAATAAAAAATTAATAGTGTAAGATGACATATGACACTAGTTAGAGAAGTGTAATAGATGGGGACATGTGTCTTTCTTAGTTTTTTGGTTATAGTTTTTAAATACTAAGTATATATATAGATGATGTAAAGGTGGTATTGGGTTGAAATTTGATATTTAATACATGTATTTGGTTCAATTTTGAAATGAGATCTCATCCTCTCAGGGGTGTTTGGTTTGCAAACTAGTATGGGGTTGGAATCAGGAATGAAACCATAGTGGTATGGGTTTGGAACTCGATTCTTAATACCATATGTTTGGTATGATTATGGAATGCAATTTTTTTCTATTATTTGATACCTAAAAGAATGGAAATGAGCCAAACCCATCTCTCTCCAAGGTTTCTAAACCCATACTTTGGGGGTTTGAGGTATGAGTTTGAAACTCTTAAAATCATAAAACAAACACAAGGTATGGGTTTAAACCATTCTAAACTCATATCTTAATTAAGTGAACCAAACACCTATATATTTGAAACCTAAGGGAATGAAATTAGCCAAACCCACCTTCCCCCTGGTATTGATTTAAAATTCATACTTTTAACAATCAAACATATGACATGTATTTTAGGACCTATTCTAATTTATTAAAATGAACTGATTTATGAGAGAAGGAAATTAAAAATTGGACTGAATTGAAATTAAGCTCAAGAGAATAGGCCTTATTCATTCTAAACCCATACGGCACTACCTCATACCTATATTTTGTGAACCAACACCCGCAATTCACTTCATATACTAACTAGTTTTGTGCTCGTGCGATGCCCGGGTTGTTTATTGAATTTTAAGATTAATTTTTAATCTATATGTAAAATTTTAAAACATATCATTGATACAAATTTAGTTAGGAAATTATGTGTTTTTAATTTTGTGACAATTTAAACTATGTAGTAGGTATGTAATGACTAATAATAATAATAATAAATATTGCTGAAAACATTTCTTGACCCATAACCTGAAATAATGACCCTGTCCGAAATAACTCGTGATCCGACCTGATTGACATGTAAGTTGTTTACACATGTTTACACATAGTAATAAAATTATATTAGATTTTGAAGTATTATTATTTTAATTGATTAGAATATATTATAAATAATAGATGTGATACATTTTGAACTAATTCCTTCGTTCCAAAAAAATATTATGATCCAAAAAATAAAATTATATTTAAATTTATGAGTTATAATATAATGTAATTATTTTTTGAATAAAATTATAATTCAATTTATAAATATTGGTACTTTATCGAAAATAAAACTCTAAATTAACAATTTTATCTTAAAATTTTATCCAAATTTGATTGAAAATAGAATTCTAAACGAACTTTTTTATCCTATAAATTAAATTCTGTATAATTCTATCCTACGTAGCGTGACACTTGGCAAAAAGTTAGAACGCCAAGTGTGTTGTCTTGTTCTCTGACTAAAAGTTTAGCTTTATATTTAGTTAGAGCATGAATATTGGAGAGGATATCTATCCTCTTGAAGGTCGTTTTTGCTTAGGTGAACATATCCTCTTTGATGCTGGGAATTATGAGGATCCTTGAGGGGAGGAGGATGCTCATGAATCCTCTTCTGTTGAAGGAAAGTGAACCTCGTCTACCGTGCCAAGAGGATGACTAAAAACAGCGTTTCAAGCAAAAACAATGCAAACGGTGACGTTTTGTTAAATTAAAAAAAAAGGAAAAAAATTAATCTTCTGACAAGTGGCAGCCACTGATTTGTTATATTTGTTACATGATTTTACTAGCACAAAAATCTTATAACGGTAATTAATAACAAACGGTAACTTATTTAAAAAAACTGATTTCACCAACAGCTTTATTTTTTTTTTCCTCTATAAAATGAACCTAATTTTGGCCATTTTTTATGCACTTCAATTTTTCATATTTTTCCTCTCTTTCCTCTAATTTTAAAATTTTCTTCTATAATGGATCCAAATAATCCTAATTATGGAAGAAATATGAATTTCCCAACTGAATACAATGCAAATACTCCCCCTTTTGATCCAAATATATTCAATAATCCACAATTTCAAGCTGCTTTGCAATGGTTTGGTAGCGACCAAAGACCTATAAACCCGAATTATACATCCCAAATTCCTCACCAATTTCATGGGGGTTCATCTTCACAAAATGTCCCATTATTTCCCATGTCCCAATATTTTACCCAACCCATGGATCAATATCCAAGAGTAAATGTTAGTAGCACTGCTTCTCCAACAGAAGATGTACGGGAAGCGCAACATCTAGAAGATCTCGATGATGATGTTGTTGACATTACCGGAGAAGACCTCAATGATAAAAAAACTACTGCATGGAGTATAACTGAGGATAAGGCGCTTGTTTCAGGCTACATCAACGCCGGTGGGAATGTTACCATAAATACGAAACGAACTAAAGCCGGTTTATGGGCTGCAATTGGGAAGTTATACGAAGAGGCACGGGTAGAGAACCTTGAAGAGATAAAAGATGGACCATTAAGTCCATGCAACAACGTTGGGATTTTATCAACAAATGGGTTTCAAAATGGGTTATGGCGTACAATTATATCCTACGACATCCGAAAAGTGGAAACTCAGGCGGAGACGCTGTCCAACGTGCCCATGAGTATTATGCAAAACTCAATCATGGAAAACACTTTACTTTGATGCATTGTTTTGAAACAATGCAAAATTGTCCTAAATGGGACCCACATATGGTCCAACAGCTTCCTTTGGAGAGCGAGGGAAGTGGGAAACGATCCAAACCAGAATCACCAAGTGTGGGTGCTGGAAAAAAGCGGCCTATGGGTATAAAAAAATCAAAGAGTTTAGCTGCAGAAGGTAGTAATTCTTCTACATCGATAAACCTTGAAGCTTTCAACACAACTCTTGACGAAACTAGTGATAAGCGGCTTGATCAAGGAGAACGAATGATCGACTTGATAAGTAAAAGGAGCGAAGATAGGAAAAAGCTAAAGGAGGAGGAGATGAAATTTAGCATGTTACGTTCGTTGATGGCAAAACCCGTCCTCGATGAATTTGAAGTCGAAATGTACAAGAAGCTTAGAGAGGAGTTTAGTAACAGGTTTTTTTTAGAGATATTAGTTAAGTACTAGTTATTTTTTATGTATTACGTATTTAATCTTTTAGTTTCTGTATCAAGAGTTTATCTTTCATCTAACAACATTATGTTTAAGATTTGTTGTAGTACTTAAGATGTAATCGTACGTAGTAGTAATTTTAATCGTTTGTATTTTTATTTGATATTAGATGTTGTAATCTTATGTGTTGGAGTAATAATATTATGTTTCTATTAAAAAAAAAAACATGTAATTTTATATCTTATCTACCAAAATCCCTCTGCTAAAAATCTTATCCTCTGTAAGAAAATCTCATTTTATCTGCCAAAATATGAAAACTTATCTGCCACAAAATCTGACCTTATCTACCAAAAATCTTATCCCTCTGCTAAAAATCTTATCCTCTGTTAAAAAATCTCATTTTATCTTCTAAAAAATCTTATCCACTGTTTAAAAAATCTTATCTTCAGCTAGAAAATCATATCTTATGGTAAAAATCTTATCTTACCAGATTGCAAATTATTTTTTGTAACTTTTATCTCAATTGCCTATAAATTGACCTATTTCACTTACAACACTTCTACTATCACAACTACAACTACATATTAATAATTTTAAAATGAGTAGTAATTCAAATTCTTCCACTTCTAGTGATGAAATCTATAACTACACATGTTGCTTGATTTTATTGAGGAAAATCGGCAACAACAAATCATAGAAGATGCATTGAGATATGTGGTTAACACCACCATGCAACAACAAGAAGAAGATGTTCCACGTCAAAGAAAACGAAGGGAAGTTATACCACGTAATCGTGAAGCAGCACATGATCAGTTGATTGCTGACTATTTCAGCGAACAACCATTGTATGGTGATGATAAGATTCGACGTAGGTTTCGCATGCGGAAACCTCTATTTACGAAGATAGTGAACCAACTGAGTGAAACTGATCGATTCTTCCAACAACATCCAGATGCAGTATGCGTTTGGCGCTTCTCCAATACAGAAGTGCACAACGACTATAAGGATGTTAGCACATGGCTGTGCAGCTGATCAAGTTGACGAGTACCTCAAGCTTGGGGCAACTACGGCTAGACATTGTATCACGCACTTCGTTGACGGAGTGATTCGTGAATTCTCAGCAGAGTACTTAAGGAAACCAACCCCTGAAGATATGAATCGCCTTCTAAGAGAAGGAGAGGAAAGAGGTTTTCCTAGTATGTTGGGAAGTATCGATTGCATGCATTGGGAGTGGAAAAATTGTCTAGCGGGGTGGAAAGGGATGTATCAAGGGCGATCAAAAACGGCGACGGTTATCTTAGAAGCTGTTGCATCTTGTGATTTGTGGATATGGCATGCCTTTTTTGGTACACCTGGATCCTGCAACGATATAAATGCCCTTCAACGTTCACCCGTCTTCGACGACATTTTAAATGGTCATGCTCCACAAATTCAGTTTACCGTGAATGGAAATACTTACAATCAGGGGTATTATCTCACAGATGGGATCTACCCAAAATGGGCAACATTTATAGATGCAATAACTGCACCGCAAACCCCTAAACAACGATTGTTTACTACCAAACAAGAGAGTATTAGAAAAGATGTAGAGCGTGCATTTGGAGTGTTGCAAGCTCGATTTGCCATTATAAGACGTCCTGCTTTGGCATGGAGTGTCGAAATGTTGTGGAAAATTGTTATGGCGTGTATTATCATGCACAATATGATCGTGGAAGATGAGCGCGAAAGTTATCTTAATTATTGGGATCCTAATGAGTTTGCTGCTGAACAACTCGAGTATTTAGCAGGAACTTCAAACCGAAGAGGAACGACTTTCACCGTAACCCCGCGCTACCAAAATCCTAATCTAACCACATTAATGGCTACACCAGAAAATCTCCACGATAAACAAACTCATATGTCACTTAAACAAGATTTGGTAGAACATTTGTGGGCAAGATTTGGGCATACTAGTAATCGGTAAGGAAAAATGAGGATATTTAGTTATTTGTCTTTAATTTCTTGTATTTGTTGTACTTTAGTGTATCAATTAGTGTTTTTATTCCTAACTCCATGTGTTATTGTATCAAAATGTTGGTAAAGTATGGTAATTTTTATTATGTATGCTAATTATGGAATACTAATTATTATTATTATTATTATTATTATTATTATTATTATTATTATTATTAGATTTTATCATTAAAAAATCAATAACAAATAATCAATAATAATAAGGTGGAGCCATATTTATATATAAAATATACGGATATTTCACCAAATGCCACTGACAAATTTAAAAATTCATCAAATGCCATCGCACTTTTCTGAATTCACCAAATGCCACTCAGTTTTTTAAAAATTCACCGAGTGCCATTAATGACCAACGGCCGTTAACTCCGTTAGTCATTAAGGGTTATCATGACACATGTCATGATATTATTGGTCCATTTATCTTTATTAATAAAAATTTAAAAAAAAAAACTGAAAATATAAAAAAAAAATCAGAAAATTAAAAAAAAAAAAACCCCAAAATTATTTCAAAAACCCCGACCAGCCAAAACCCCATCAGCCACAACCACCCTCCCGCCACCGTTCCCGCCGTCCCAGCTACTGGATTCTGTTGTCCCACAGCACCGACGCCGCCCAAGAAGCTCTCCCGCAGCGCCGACCACCTAGAAGATCCCTCGCAGTGCCGACGTCGTTCCTCCCTCCCACGAAACTCCCTCCCCACAAGCACGAAACTCCCTCCCCACCGCCACAAAACCCAGTCCTCAACCCTCAAAATCCTTTCTCTGTCCCGATCCCAGCCCCCTTCCCTTCCCCAATCCCTTTTCCGGCTACCTCCCCTTCCCACGCTCCGATTTCGACCCTTATCCCTTCTAACTTGGCGATTTTGGCCCTCCTCCTCTTCACAACCTTGATTTCGTTAATGGTTATGGTGGGTAAACGGATAGGGGAGGGTTGGAAAGCAGCTCCGAGTTGGAGAACGGCGCGGCAAATCTGGCTGCTCTGGGCCTCGTCTGGCTGGTGGTAGGGGTGGCGAGGTGGTTGAGGTCACGGTGGGGCTAGGGTCTAGGGTTAATTTTAGATTTTACAGGGTCGGGGAAGTTTGTGTGGGTGGTTTTTGGGGTCGACGGTGGGTTAGGTGGGGCGCAAAAGGGTCGGTCGGTCGATTTTCGGTGGTTAAGGTGGTGGCCGGCCGTTTTCCGGCGATATAAGGGGAGGGGCTAGGGTTTGGCGGTGGTAGGGGTGGCTGGGAAAATTTTGGGGTTTTTTATTTTATTTTAATTTTCTGTTTTTTTTATAATTATTTTCTAATTATTTTCAGCTTTTTTTTTAATTTTTATTAATAAAGATAAATGGACCAATAATATCATGACATGTGTCATGATAACCCCTAATGACTAACGGAGTTAACGGCCGTTGGTGATTAATGACACTCAGTGAATTTTTAAAAAAACTGAGTGGCATTTGGTGAATTCTGAAAAGTGCGATGACATTTGATGAATTTTTAAATTTGTCAGTGGCATTTGGTGAAATATCCATAAAATATATTGAGAGCATCATTATTGGTGAACACAAAAAAATGGTTCATGGGTCACTATCACCCTTTCTCTCTCATCCACATCAACCCAACAAACCATTTACAATATTCACTCTTAACAATGAACACTAAATAATGGTTCATCATCAATACTCCCTACCCCACCTTATTTTATTTTTGTAAATATAATCTTTTTTGTTTCATAATTATAATTTATTAACCCGATGTCAATGTAATTAATTGACGTATTTAATATTTTAATCGTGATTACTAATTAAGAAATTATCGCATTTTTTTATCAGTTTTTAAAAAAATAATTCTTGTGATTAATATTTTTTAAACAACAACGCAGCTAATTTTAATTAACAAAAAAAAAAAGAGGTACAAATCGTGATTACAGTTCTACAACTATAATCTAGTACATTTTATTTAAAAAAAAAAAAAACAACTACACATCGTTTTGTAAGATGTCCTTAGGGATAACCATTTGTTGTAAACCTAGTTGCCTAAGTTTTCGTTGTTACCAAATTTATTCCATATATGTTCGACCAAGTCGTTTTTTAGCTGCAAATGAGTCTGTTGATCCTCAATTCCTGTTCTACGATACAAGTATAAGCCGATATCCACAATACGATCAGTACGGTACTCGGTAGTGTCCTCATTAGCGTTGCCTCCAGCATTCATAAACTCATTGGTATTAACGTTATTTTGATACGTCTCTCGTTCATCTTCAACGATCATATTATGTATTATGATGCAGGCGAGCATGATATTGTGGAGTATGTCGGTATCCCACGCCAAAGACGGATTTTTAATAATGGCAAAACGAGCTTGAAGGACCCCAAATGCGCGTTCAACGTCTTTCCTTGCAGCTTCCTGGTGTTTTGCGAATAAACGATCCTGACGAGTTTGTGGTCTCGTAATGGATTTCACAAAAGAAGCCCATCTAGGGTAGATTCCATCAGTAAGATAATACCCATTCGTATAATGATGACCATTGACTACGAAGTTCACAGGAGGTGTTCGACCCTCTAAGACGTCTTCGAACACAGGGGATCGATGAAGCACATTAATATCGTTGCAGCTATCTGGCATCCCAAAGAACGAATGCCATATCCATAGATCTCTGTCCGCAACTGCCTCTAGTACGAGAGTTGCAACTCCTTCTCTTCCTTGATACTGCCCCTTCCATGCGTGTGGACAGTTCTTCCACTCCCAGTGCATACAATCAATGCTGCCTATCATGCCAGGAAATCCACGTTCTTCCCCAATACGTAGCAATCTTTCCATATCTGCGATGTTTGGACGTAGGTACTGATCACCGAACAGGTTGATGACACCTTCTGTAAACTTTTGGAGTGCCAATCGTGAAGTTGCCTCACTTATACGGACATACTCATCACAAGCGTCTGAAGCACACCCGTAAGCTAGTTGTCTAACGGCCGCAGTGCACTTTTGAAGTGGAGACAAACCAAGACGACCTGCCGCATCTCGCCTTTGTTGAAACCAGGGGTCATGTTGGGTCACTGCGTTGAGAAGGCGCTCAAACACATGTTTACGCATTCGAAACCGGCGCCGGAACAAGGAACTTGGATAAACTGGGACTTCCGCGAAATAGTCATTGTATAACCGTGCATGACCTTCTTCGCGTCCCCTATCCTTTCGGGGCTCAGTAGATTTGCGTCGGCGTTGCTGAGTGGCAGCTTGAATAATTGGTGGAATGTACTCATGCATTACGTGTTGTATCATAAGACACACTTCATTACGTTGTTGAACTCTAAGCTCCCTTCCCTCATCATCCGAGTTAGATGAAGATGAAGAGGAATCGGTTGAGCTTTCGTTTAAACTGTTTGAATTCATTTTGTACGTAAGAAATGTAAGATAGAGTGAGGTTTGCTAATAGTAACTGCAAACGATTTATGTGTTTGTGTGTAAAAAAAATGAAAGAATGGTGTTTATTTATAGTGAACTAATTTGTAATTCTTCTTCAGAAATAACTGAATATAAAGAGACAAAGATCACATGGGCTATGACAAACAATGAATTACAACCACACAGAAATTGAATGGAGAAGAAGGGTTTCACATGGGCTATGACCAACACTGGATTAGAACCACACAGAAATTGAATGGAGAAGAAGGGTTTCACATGGGCTAACAAAGGGGAAATTAAGATACTGACACGATTATATATAAAGAGACAAATTGATATAATTGAATAAACAGAATAAGATACACATGGGCTATGAAAATGGGAAAGTGGAAAAGATCCATTTTACTGATTAATTGATAAAGTACAAACATAAGGAAATGAGTACAAGAGGTTGAACTGGAATTGAAAACTTATCACTACTGATGAAGAACAATAAAGGAATTGAACACACTTAACTACAATAAAAAATAAAGGACACTAAGCATCATTATTGAAACGTTGAATATTGTTCCGAAGTATTACTATCATTTCGTCTTCCCACTGTTCTCGGTTTACTTTCTGTTCTAGACGAGATAGTTGCTATTCGGGATCATATTTTGACCCAAATTTTTTTTCTTCTTTCTATTTGTTTTGGGGTTGGTATTAGCATCCATAATTATAATTTATATTTGAAAAAAATAAAAATTTAATAATAATAATAATAATAACAATAATAATAAAAATAATAATAACGATAATAATAATAATAATAATAACGTAATATAATAATAATAATACGATAATAAATAATAATAACAATAATAATAATAATAATAATAATATAATAATAATAATAAATAATAATAAAATAATAATAATAACGATAATAATAAAAATAATAGTAACGATAATAATAAATTAATGATAATAATTAAAATAATAATAACAATAATAATATTAATGTTGGTATAAATAATAATAATATTGGTAATTATAGAGGGGATTTTTGAAGAGAAAAATATAGTAGAAAAAAAATGAATTTTCAAAGTTGAAAAAAGTATATCAATATGGGTGTCTATTTATAGAGGGGAAAAAAAATAGAGTCGATTACAACGGATATATTTAAAACAGTACACACGTGTCAAGCAGCGGCTGGGCAAGTGGCGCGCTCCCAGCCGCTGATTTCTATTTTTTTTCTGACCTTTAACAGCAAAACGACGTCGTTTTGCATGAATATCAGTCCAAAATATTGGTGGGGCCCACAGCGAATTAATTCATGCAAGTGTTTGCTCCTGCAATCGAACCCCATGACCACTCAACATGAACAATTAAAGAGTTTGCCATTAAGCCACCACCCTTATTTGTTCACTTATTGTGAAATATTAAATGTTCACCCTTAAAGATGCTCTGAGAGGATACCCTTTGATGTGGAAAAAATAAATGGAAGAGGATGGAAGAGAGGAAAGAGATAGTGAAAAATGAGGTGGAAGAAAGAGAGTATGAGGTGTAAAAATAGGGTAAGGAGAGAGAATGAAAGAGAGGATAAAACCATCCTCTCCAATATTCATGCTCTTATATGATATACTCGTACTACTATTGTCCTCTTTCCATTTGGAGGGAAAATTATTTGCCTTTTCATTTCTGAAATCCTACTCCCTCTCCTCTCTCCCTTCTCTGTTCACTGCACTTCGAAGTTCAATTCAATGTCTAGAAGGCGACTTCGTACCGTCTACACCTCCGACGAAGACGAAGATGTTCCACAACAACCTCCGTTACACGAAAACCTAACCATCCTCAACCACCGCAACAACAACAACAACCGCCACAACAACATGTCAACGAACGAATGACGGAGGAAGATGACATTGAAACTCCATCTCCAGACCCTATCCCTAATATCAATTCTGTAACCCTAAATTCCACCACCACCACCACCTCTACAACCGCCGCTACCACCGCCGTCTCCGAACATCCGTCACTTCAGGTTTCCGGTGAAGATTTTATGGATGTTTCTGATAATCTCTCTCCTCCGCCGGTGGTTACTGCTTCTTTCGCCGCTTCGGGTTGTCCGGTTAATGATCATTTGAGGAGAATGGGGGTGAATTTGAGGAGAGAATGGCTTGATTCTTGTAAATTAGGCCTTCAGAATACTGTCCCGGGTTTCGTAAATTTTGATGTTGAAACTAAGGCTAAGCTTTGTTTTGGGCAGATTTTGAACTCGGATATGAATTATTCTGGTGCTGGAATTCTTCCTGAAAATGTGAAGGATTTGCATCTTGTTGATCTTACTGGCCCTTTTGTTCTGCAGGTAATGATTTTTTCAAAGTTAATTTTTTTGGTCTAATTTGGCTTATAGATTTTATATTTTATTTTTGATTTAGGGCTTTTAAGATTTTATATTTTATTTTTGATTTAGGGCTTTTAAGATTATACTAGAAAGCTTGATGATATTTTGTTGCTGATAACTTGTGAATTATGAACTTCATTTTTAAGTTTGAAGTGGCGATTTAGCAGTCCTTAGAAGTTTATAAAGCTTAAAATTTAGCAAGCTAATTATGTTTTCGTCAAAAAAAAAAAAAAAAAAGCAATTATGTGTATCATTTAGTACAAAAGAAATACTAGTATAATTATTGAGTAAAAGATGGTATATGTTATTTTTTTGAATTGTTATTGATAGCATTTGATCAATGAAATAAATTACATTATCATTGGTCTCTAGGGGGTATTCATTTACACTTTGTTTGGATAGAAAGAAATGAAAAGAAAAGAAGAAAAGATAAAAGGAGGGAGACAAATTCTTTTTTTGGTAAAAGGATTAGGGGAAGGAAGGGGAAGGAGAGGGAGAAATCCATTTTTCCTCGCTCTAATAACCGTAATATCTCCAAAACTGAAGAGATTTGGAGGGAAGATGGAGCTCACCTCCCCTCCCTTTCTTTTCCCTTCCTTTCCTCCTTTTTTCCCTCCCTTTCCTTTCCTTCCTTCCTTCTTCGCTATTTAAACACATCGTTAAGTATTCAAGAAGCAAAAATTACTAGACTTGATAGTCAAAATTATTCAAAATGGCTCAAGTTTTGCAAACTTGTGTATTATATATGTGATGTATCTAATCAATCAATCAATCAAAGCCTTGACGCATCTTGATACAAAAAGTTTAAAATAGAATCAGTTGTAGTCAAACACTTTATAAATGCGAAGATGGCTGGAATTTGCATGCTTTGATGACCAAAACACCAACTAAATTGTCTTATGCCTCACCAACCCCCCTCTCTACGAAAATGAAGATACAGCAAAAAGGCTAAATGTCAAATCTTTTCCAAGAATTTAGGGTATCATTGGTGATTGGGGGGGAGGGTGGGAATGTGAGGTTCACTGTACTTGTTGTCTTGTCATGAGTTATATAATACTTCTGACTACTACACTATTCGGATTTTTTTTTTCGTAGGTTGATGAAGTACTCAATATTAGTTGTCCTCTGAAGGAGAGGTACAAGAATGCACCTTCAGGGCATAAAAGATGCCTCAAGCTCTCCATGACCGATGGTGTTCAACGTGTATTTGGCATGGAGTATAGGCCTATCAAAAGTCTTGAAGCCCTTGCACCTGCTGGGTTTAAGGTTGACTTGCTCTACCATCTTTAATGCATTTGTTTTCCTCAAAATCATCATTTTAGTATCTGTCATATTTGTGTATATGTAATGCTTCTGGTTATGATTGGTCTGTAGACTTGTTTCTTGCTAAGTTTATGATTGGCGGGTGAGATTTATCCACATGGGCAGCCTATTGTTTTGATTTCTGACCTTTAATTTCTATGTTGCAGTTCTGCTTTCCACCCAAATGGCTCCTTGTCTTTTTATAGAAGAAAATATTGTGTGTAAAAGACAAAATAAGATGGAGTTCTATGGAGGTTTTTATACAATTGAGTTGATAGAAGTCACAGAACTCTATGTCTTGATAATTACGTATTATGAGATTTTTTTTTTTTGTATTGGCATTTTACCCCTGAAGTTGGTCTATCTTCATATTATTAAGCAAATCTTTGTTTTTTGGGACTTGTGACAAATCCATTCCTTATATATGTTCATGACCCACTGGAGAATGTGGTCAGACACATTCTAAACGAAAACGAAATGCTGCTTATATATCATCTTAAAGCTCATTTTAATGTCTATGATTCTGTGAAGTATTGTTGGATCTGATGGTGCTTCTTTTGGCAACTGTTTGATGTTTTTCATTTTGACAGGCTAAACAAAGTTGGTGTTCTTGTGTAGGTTGCCATTCGGGATGTGAATGTACGGCGTGGGATTCTGATGTTGGTTCCTGAAGTATTGGAAATTCTTGGTGGCTCTGTTGAAGAGCTTGAGGCAGCCAGGCAGAGGCTCGTTCAGGAAGTTAACAAGCCTCCAAGGGGAAAAAGGTATAAACAAATGGTTTTGTTAATGTTTATTTGTAAGTGAAAAGATTTTGTGCTTGTCTCTCTTTTTTTTTTGTGTTTCATTTGTTTTATTGGTTTTGGTTAGATTTTGATGTCTTCTATCATTAAATTCAGTGTATATGACTGACATACTTCGTATGATATACTAGTTGCATCATTTTGATGAATTCCTGAAGAAAAGTTTCATGTTGATCAGCACTTTGGAGTTTTGTAACCTATTGGACAATTGCTGCTGTAGCATTATGTTGAAAATATTTTGTATTATAAGATAGAAATATCAATTTAGAATCTGTAGTAATTGGCCAATCTAATCAGATAAACGAAGAAATTTTCGAAAGCATAGATTGTGCCATATATGCGTGTCATTTCAATCTAAAAAAATAAAAAAAAATTACAATATGACTGGAGTATCAGTTTGATTAAAATACATAGATAAGCTTAAATATATAAACTAAAAAAGAGTTTAATTTGCAATCATAGACCAATGCTTATTATAATACTCAGTAGGACGTAGGTTTTTGCTACAGAATCTCATCATCATTATACCAATGGAAACAGCTCGAAATATGTTTGAAAATAAGATCTATATTTAATATACTTATATAACAACATACTACAAAAAAACTATGTAAAGCTTTGTGAAATTATTTAATAAATTGTTACAAGACTCTTTATAATTTATAGATAATTCTCCTTTTGTTCTACTAAATACCTTTCTATTTACTATAGCTATGGATAATGAAAGATGAAAGTGGAAAGTGAGCATTGTTATTTTTAATTTTATTTTGTACTTTTTGGATAGGAAATAGGGTGTTTAGAGCCTTGAGTATTATTATATTGTGTAACTGAATCCATATGGTGCACTAGTGATGGAAGATCAAATGGAGGGAGTACAATCTTCCTAAAGTATGAGAATACGTTTACAATTTGGAATATTTTAGGTTTTTATATTTTTAGTTTAAATTTTATTTTTATTATCTAACTATATTGTACAACTTTATATCAATATCTGTATTGTTTTACTCATATTATGTTTTAGCTGCTGCAATGCACAAGTTTTAATGCTGGTACTATTTCAAAGTTTATTGGGTATTTGGGTGTGATGCTTGCTTCGAATTAGGTTGATATTTGAGTCATGTCTTCAGTTGATTTGTTTGAGTTTTTAAGTTCTTCAATAATTGAGTTAAGTACAAAGTGTTTCTTTATATTTCTGGACATTAATAGCACATAAATAAATGTTTAATTTCCTTTTGTTTGATGTGCTAGGAAAGAAGGTTGTAAAAAATAAACATAGTTATAATTTATGAAGTGATCTTCAACGTAAACATGCTTAGAATAATTATAGTTGACACATTTCTTATCATCTGTTATGTTAAAAATTCTATTTTTCTTATGTTGACATGTGTTTAGAATGGGTATTATCCTACTTTTTTGCTAGCACAGAAGCAAGTTGGTGAGCAGTGTTGAAGTTTGAGATATAATTTTACTTATTTATTGTGTCTTCCTCTTAAATTAAATGTATCCAGAACAAGAAATGGTATTGTTCCTCCATTGTCGGCGAGAGCAACTCGTGCTGCTTGGCCACAAAATGATGTTAGTAATGAAGCCATGCCATTGGATGATGCTAATCATGTCTCAGGGAACACCACAACTTCTATGCTACATGCTGCAACTCAGTTTCGTGGAAATACCTTGGGTAAGCTACTAAGCTATAGCTTCGTTTATTATTTTGATGGTTTGATTGGGAGGACATAGATCTTTCCAATTTGTTTCGGAATTGCTGTCCTAATTTGTTTGGGCTGTTTCATATCTATTGTTTGTTTTGTATGATTAATGTACTCTTCCACATTCACCTTTTGTTCTCTATGAATTGTGTTTATGTATTCACTACTTAAAGGTGGGCATGGGCTGTGCCGGCACGGGTTCGGCATGACACGGCACGGCGGCACCACCTGTGGGCCGTGCCGTGAACACAAATTCTAGATTTGGCACGGGCACGGCACAAGGCACGACGGGCAGCACGGTGGCCGGCACGCCTCGCCGGCCCGCCACGTGGCACAGCCGGGCACGACACGACACGAGGCCCGCCCGACACGTGCCAACTAGCCGTTTTCTAACAGCTCTAAAACAGCTAGTTATAACGGCTAGTTTTTGTCCATTTTTCCCACCCAAAATCCCTATAAATAATTAAATACCCCATTTCTTTCTCCAAAATTTTCACAATTCATAAACTCATCTCTTCTCTCTTATTCTCTAATTCCTACAATCTTACTCTTTCTCTTTTGTCTAAAGAAAAAAAAAATTCCTACTCTCTTATAAATTTACATTTTTACTATTATTAGTCTACTACAAAAAAAAAAATCTTATATTTACACTCTGGAAATTATAAGTTTGAGAAATTTTAAGTTTGGGAAAGCAATTGAAGCGTCATTGTAAGATCTAACTCAATTTTATTTTAATTTGTTATAGTTATTATTATTGTTGTTGTATTTTCTATTTTTATTGTGGAAAATTTAGATTGTTAGTTAAATCTCTCTAAGGCGGGACTTGGGCTCAGGACAACGTCGTTCCTAACCTCTCCTACCTGGGATCTCATTGATCTAAATAATCTACTATTATTATAATTATTTTTGAAAACTTAATTTATATAAAAACTACTTACTAATTCTTATCGCTATTGTTATTATTATTGCTGTTAATTGTTATTATTATTGTTATTGTTAATTTGTTATTGTTATTTGTATTATTATTGTTGACATTGTTGTTGTTATTATTATTAAATATCATGGCATCAAACTCGAACACTTTCTCCTCTAGAAAAGCCAAGTCAAAACGTAGGGAATCACCAAACCTAAACACTTCAATGCCCCCCTAACACCTTTCCCTCCCCTAACATGCCCTTTCACTCCTCTAACTTGCCCTTTCCAAACACTTTCACCTAAACATGGGCAACGGGCCGAACCGTGCTGCCGCGGGCCGTGCCGCGGTGGGGGGCGTGCCGTGCCTAATTTTGGCATACCCCAACCCACGACACGGCACGGCCCACTTGCCTGGAAGGCCGTGCCGGGCTGCGGGCCAAACCGTGCCACTTTTTGTTTTTTTTGTTTCTTTTTTATAATAATAAATGTTAATAAAAAATGATATATATATTTTTTTAGTACAACTTAATTTTATATAAATAATGTGATTAATTTATGTTTATGTTAATGTTAATATATTTTGTTTTGAACAACTTTATTTTAATTAAGGTTATATAAATTATTTATCTAATTTTGTTAAAGTTTATATAAACAAATAAAAATAATTTTATTAATTTAGCAAAAAACAACAATGCATATAATAATAATAAAAAAACGACGAGTGCGATAATACGAAAACACAAAAAATCGAAGAATAACTTATTTTATTATATGCCGGTAGCCGGTACGATAAATCGATATTACAAATAATTTATAATAATTAAAAATCGTACAATATTTTGTGAATAACTTTATTTATTATACGGAATACGAGGTTCGATAATACAAAAAATTGTACAATAGTGTATAATGTAAATATGTAATAATGTAATTATTATTCGTCTTCGTCTTCTTGTGGTTCAAGTTCATCGGCCAATTGAGTTGATTGAGAAGTATGAAAGCTAAAAGAAGTCAACGACCTTCATCGTCGTCTTTTTGTGCATTAGTACGATCTTGAGAACGAGTTTCGGCATCCAACCAATCCTTGTAGCAAACACACATTTCAAGAGTGTTTCGGATTTTAGTCTTGTTCTTCTATCGTCTAAAACCCGTGCCGACGCACTAAAAGCTCTTTCGGAGGCAACGGAGGAGACTTGGATAGCAAAAATATCACGAGCCATTGCCGACAAAATTGGATGTTTCATGGTTTGTGATTTCTACCAATCAAGGATGTCGAGACCAAACTTCTCTTCATCGTCCATGCCTTTCATGAAGTCGTAACTTAGGTACAATTGCAACTCCGAAACATCGCTTTGTGTTCTCCTAGTTGATGGTGATTTCGTACCTGAAAATTTGGACATCATGTTAGCAGCTTGTGCAAATAAACCTTTAGCCCGTTTACTTACGTTTTTGGATGTTTGAGAAAGGGCAAATCGAGACACAGTTCCATATTTACTTTCATAAACTCTATAGAAAGAGAAACTCATTAGTCACCTTATTTTTAAAAGTTTCAACATCATCTTCAAAATTCATGTTACTATTATAAATATCAATTAATAAAAAAGTGCCATCGTATTTTTGCCTAAGATCTAAAATAGAAGCAAAAATATAAATCATAGGAATATTAGTGTACTATTTACGCCATTTTTCCTCCATTATTGGAAGATATCAATGATAATCATGTTCTGATTGGTGTTTGGCAAAAAGTTGTGCAAGTAAACAAGCATTGCTTAGAAAAGAATGGGAACAAAGATTATATATAGAAGAAAAACAATGTGTCATACTATATAGTAATTGTAAAAAACTGCATATATTTTTCACAATTAGCCCAATCATCTTCTAGTAAAGCACATTGTGCAAATTTCATATTATGACTCAATATTTCATAGGTGGAGCTCCACCTAGTTGGACAATCCGGTGCTATTTTTATAGTCTTTATCCTTTCTTGCCCGCAAAAACCTTTCCATTCTTGATATCTCAAGTTAGAGCTATTAATAGACATAATAGCATTCCTTATTTTGTGATAAAATGGACCAATTGCTTATGTTCCATCCTTCACACACAAGTTAAGAACATGACAAATGCATCTAACATGAACTTCATCTCCAACTAATATTACATCGGTCAATTGGGCTTTAGCCAAATTCGCACTATATTGTCATGTAAGTTGCATTATCAAAAGTCATATACATGATTTTATCCTTAAGACTATATACATCAATGGCTTCCATTAAACGATGAAAATTGTTAAGACAGGTATGAAGACGAAGACGAAGACATGATTTATCGTACCATTTATAATAATGGGCCGTGCCATGAACACAAATTCCAGATTTTCATGTACAATGGCTACCGGCATATAATAAAATAAGTTATTCTTCAATTTTTTGTGTTTTCGGATTATCGCACTCGTCATTTTTTTTTTATTATATGCATTGTTGTTTTTTGCTAAATTAATAAAATTGTTTTTATTTGTTTATATAAACTTAAACGTAATTAAATAAATAATTTATATAACCTTAATTAAAATAAAGTTGTTCAAAACAAAATATATTAACATAAACTTAAATTAATCACAATATTTATATAAAATTAAGTTGTACTTAAAAATATTTATATCGTTTTCTGTTTACATTTATTATTATAAAAAAAACAAAAAAACAAAAAGTGGCACGGTTTGGCCCGTGGTTCGGCACGACACGACCCGCCAGGCACGTGGGCCGTGCCGTGGGCTGGGGTGTGCCAAAATTAGGCAAGGCACGGCGCGGCCCACCGCGGAGCCGTTATGGCACGCCCCCCATCGCGGCACGGCCCGGCCCGCTGCCCATGTTTATCACTACTTCCTTTTTTTTTTTAATTTAATTATTGCATTTCCTAGTGGATGGCCTATTACTAATTTAAAATGATAAAAAGGGAGAATTTTAGACCAAAAACCGCATGTGATTAGAAATGAGAGAAATGAATATAAAGAAGTGGGTTGGGCAAGGGCAAACTTGTAACTTTGAGTATCTATCATAATAACATAAATTCTTAGGACTTGTACTTCCGGTCCTTTTTTGTTCTTCCCATTTGGATTCTTGGCACTATTCAGAAATTTCTAAATTACTCTTAATGTATATAGCATATCCTAGTCATAAAGGGTATTATTTGATTGAATACTTTATTTGTAGGGGGGTGTTAAATACCGCCATCCAAAATTATCAAAACCGCCAACATTTAGTGTGAATGGACAATCATGTCCTTAGTACTTCACTACTATCTTCCTCTTGCCATCAATCACTAACACCTTGACACCACCACCCTAATTGACGACTAACACCACCACCACCACCACCCCCACCACACTAACCGGCGACGATCACCACCGCACTAGTGACCCACCACCTTCCCTCCTTTTTTTATTTATTTTTTAATTTCAGATTTTCAGGCAATCGCGGTAACCAAAGCCCAAAAATCAATTACCAAGTATGGTAAACGGAGCCCAAAACCGGTTACCGTGCATGGTAACCGGTTTTGGGCTCCGGTTACCATAGAATCGATTAAGGTGCACGGTAACCGGTTACCACGGTTGCCTAAAATAAAAAAAAACCACCACCTTCACGCCGACAGGGAAGGTGGTGGGTTGTCATAGAGGGGGGGTGTGGTGGGTCATCGGTCAAAAGGGGTTGTGATCGCCGGTTGGAAGGGGTTGTGGGTTGCCGGAAGGATGAAGGGATGGTGAAGTAGTAAGGGTATGATTGTCCATTCACACCAAATGTTGGCGGTGGTGATCATTTTTGTTTGCGGTGTTTAGCAATTCAATATTTGTATTGAACATATGTATCTTTATTACAGTAATATGCAACTGTTGATATACTTGATCAAAGTGGTGCATTGGTAAGCGTGCATAAAAAAAAAAGGTAGATAAGAGGTAGTATATATATTTTTAAGTGAACATAAATTCAGTTTGCTGTCTATTATTCAAAACCTCAGTTTGTCAGTTTTAATAGAATTTTTTATTTTTATTTTTTATTATTATTATTTTTTTTATTTTAAATAAAAAATGCTGTTTGTTAATGCTATCTATTAAATGTTGGATCCTTTACTGGTGAGTGTATTGTTGGTTTCTGTTTTCTTTGATTTTGTGGCTGAACTTTTAGAGATTGCTCATTTTGTACTCAAATCTAGATGATGCATGCATGGTTAGATCTCGAGTAAGTTGCTTGTGTAAGGTCTTTTAATCTATTGACTTATAACTTTCATAAAGTTTATTTTATGTTATGATGCATATAGAGAGATGTTTTCAGTAGCAGTTGTGTTGCTAGCTAGATGTATGAATTTTTAGTTTAATATACCTATTTGTTGGTTTTCCAAAAAGATTTCGAAGTTGTTTAACACAGTAGTTTTTTTTTGCTCTCTCATTCAATATTTAAGGAAAAATGTGTGCTCACAATTGCATATGAAATCACGTATAAAGTATGATTTTGCTCTTTTGTGGCAGGTGTTGATCCAAGCAGTAGGATTAGGCAAGTCCCTCTGGCAGGCAGAACTGTTACTGAGCTTCCATCAGAAAGATCTGACCAACATTCTCTAAGTAGAGACTCTGCTCAAGTTTACATCAGTAGAGAAACTGCTCAACGTTATATAACAGTGTCGAAGCTGGTGTGCTTCCTTCAAGTAGGGAAACTACTGAACCATTTAATAGTAGGGTATCTTCTGAGCATCTTATTAGCCGAGAGACTGCGCATTGTTCTATCACTATAAATGCTCAGAAGTTTCCTACAGCAGCCGAAGGTTCTGAGCAACCTCCTGCTAGACAATCTACTGGGATCAATCCAGTTTCTGCCATTGCCATTGAAAATGAAGATGCTCTCATGCTTGATTATATGGAGCACCCATTTATATTAAGCGGAGAGAAGGAATTACCTTTCATATATTTGGCAAGTCTGTCAGCAAAATGGGCTGCTGTGCAGGGTAACCAGCCTTCTGTCCGAGGGAAGATCAAGGTATGTGTTTGGATTTTGGATGTTTCTAATTTCTATAGGCTCTTCAAATGCATAATTGACAATGGATGTATCATATTGCTAAGATATTATGATGTAATTCTTTTGCAAATAAGTATGTCCACTTCGTCATTGTTGAACTTGATGTATTTCCTAGCAGATTCTCTCTCCATTCCTTGACTCTACCATGACCTTTTTTTTTTTGTTAAATTCAGTTGTTATTCATAAGTGTAGATAGCCTACAATGTAAAAATGTTGAAACTAAGGTTTGGTCGATACTTATCTTCATTCTTATACAATTTTTTTGATCCTCTGATGTGTTCTTATATCTAGATAAAATTCTATTTAGAAGTATGAATTTATATGTGTGACTTCGACCATGCACTATTTGGGCACATGTTATTAATTGTGATCTCTAATATTAAATTTTGCAGTGCATTTTGACTGGTGTGAATAGATTTCGGTACAAGGGGCGATCTACGTTTGAGCTTCAAGTTTATGTTGAAGATGGGAGCCTTATATCTGAAATCTTTATTCACCATAATGTGAGTTGAGTTGTTGGCTTGCTTCTGTTATGCACTTATATGTGAAATTTGGGACACACTGAATTGTAGTATCATTGTCTTTTATCAGGTTGTGCAGAAAGCGATAGGTTATTCACCTGAAGAGGTGAATGCTGCTCTTTCCTCCTCAAATGAGAAAGTAGTAGGAGACCTGAAGAGCAAATTGAATCAATTTCAATTATTCTTAATGAATTTTGAGGCAAGCTCTTTTAGAATTCACTTTTCCTCTTAGCTTTTGCATTTATGCGGTGGTTTTTTAGGATGTTTAATCATAGTTGTTTTCCCTGGAAAGGGATGATAGTCATATCTTGGCTTCCCACTTCCCTGGCCCCTCCCACCCCCTTCCTTTAGTAGCTATCTCAATAGAAGAAAGAGCAATTGTTAACTCATTTTTTTCTCTCTTTCAGGGTACGATGCTTGTGGAGATGAATGAGACTTCTACGTACCCGATTGCTCTTGAGATGAACCAAAATTGTCCTGCATCAGATGCATTGTTACTTTTGAAAAGACTGAAGCCTGCCTCTTCTGGCCCAATGTCCCAAAATAGCCAGTTAGATGTGATCAATTTGTCGCCTTGAGCCGACAAATGCACACTGTGGTTCCTTTCTTGATTATTGCAAACAGAATGATATGAAAATTCTTAGATATGTGAATAGGTGAATCAGTAAGAGACTAAGAGTGTATCTTGATATGTATGGGTCACATAGAGGCATCTTTTCAAGTTGCTTGCTTTCTAAGGTTGGGAAAGGTGTTTGCTATTTGTACCCTGTTATGATTGGGAGTTGAGACTGCCTTTTGCAAGTATGATGCTGAACGGTGACATTATCTGAAAGGCTGCAGTATCTACTATTTATTCTACATTAATCCATTTTGGAGCATGGCGGAATTTGATTTGGTCAATTTTGGCGGATGAAAGGTTTTCTCCTGTTTTGGTAATATACTGAAGTTCAAAGGTCTCGGCATCTGTCTCCTTCAAGATAGCATGTTCACAACCTAGCGATCTCCATTTTTGGAGATCTATAGAGGTACATGTACATTTAAACTCATATTCTATATTCATTTGCGAGAATTCTTCTTACTACAAGTTACATAACCTATTAGCTGTTTAATTCCTGTTAAAGGATTTTAAAGTTGTTTGCTGACAAAAAATGCTATCATGCATTGTCACACCTCACACATTCCCAACATTGTTATAGCAAAGCTCCCCAACATGGTTATGATTACTTTCCCCTTAAAAAAAAATGGTTTTGATGACCCCCATTGTAAAAAGTGATTTTGCATACTTGCTGGGCTAGTATCATCAAAATCCTTGGATAAGTTTGTATTGGTATTGTTGCAGTTATTAGGAAAAAAAATGTGGGATTGGATGCCATGTGTAAGAGTACTGAGTTCGGTCACACCAAGTGGGTTATGGGCTCAAAGGTTGAATACTGGTAGTTGTGGGTTTTGAAGGGCTGGGTTATGGGCTGTGATACCAAGTGTAAGGGATTGAGTTCGATCACACAACAAAGTCAATGTAACAACAATGTTTTCTGATTTTAACTAGCAAATCAATAATGAAGAAAGCTTTTAGATTGATAATGTTGGAAGGGTTACAAAAGATAATTAATAGCTTAAGGTATCAATCTTAGATAGCGAGCTTAGCTCACAACTCTCCAATAATGGCTTTAGGCCACAACTCTTCAAAAGGTTTACACCAAATTTCTGTCTACCTTGTTCTTCTTCCCTCTCTCTATTTATACAAAGGTTAAAAAACTACAAACCTAGTAATACTAAACTTCCCAAATTGCCCATACTACATTTGATGACTATTTAACATACTAAACTACCCATAATATCCTCCCCTAAGTTAGTTCATTACACCATGGCGAAGTACACTTGGTTGTATGAGCAACCAAATTCAGCCAGCTAGAGTTGGATGCAGTTATTTGCTGCTTAGTATTTTTTTTTTTTAAAAAAATTAATGGTTACACTATTTTATCTTGGAGACTAGGAATATGGTATTCCATGGCTAGTGTATAGTGTCCGCCTTAGAACATATGTATTGGTAATTTTGCCAAGGGGGCCGTTAATTTCAGAAGTCTCAACAGTCTATAAGTGCATTCCAACATAAAATTTGTTGTTATTCTGCATATGCAATTGTCACTAGGAAGTCGCCTAGAAAAAAAAAACTGTTTTTTTTCCGCCTGTGGGACACCTCAATCCAATGGTTACAACTGTGGACTTTTTGTCATTGGATTGAAGGTGGATACATGACCTTTTGTAATCCAGTAAGATCCAGGAATTTCTTGCTAGGCGCTTCTGTTGGCGGTCTTTCAGGTCCAGCCACTAAGAGCATTCGGTTGCACCACTCTAGTACTTCAGGTAGAAATACCTTCCATAGGATTGTTACCCTCATCCATGATGGCACTGTCAAATATTTGTCACCACGGCGAGCACTATCTATAATGGCCTTTGCACATCTATCCGCTGATGTTACTGGGACTGCACTAATTTGTACCTGGCATAAAATATGCAGCAGATAACTAAATTCAGTAATTGTGCTGTAAACATATGATGTTAACACGTTGTAAAGATTGGTTTTAGATGCAGTTTTGTGGAGAACACTCTGCTACCTAAGATGCAAACATCATGTGTTTCCACTTTTTTTTTTTTCCTCTCTTTGAAAAGATTGGTTTATATGATATGTAAATATATGATGTTTACACTTCGAAAAGACTGGTTAATATAAGAGAATTTCACCAATCTCAGATTAGAATTTTAATTATTATCTACACTATATTCCATCAGCTTTACCCCACTTATGGGATTAAGGCTTTGATTGATTCCATCATCTCTCGAGACTGTCTTACTACACTTTTTGTTAGATGAAATTGTGATTAATGTTTGTTTCAGAAGTTTTTATTAGATATAAATGAGTTGATCGAGTTTAATGTAGGTTGCTCAATCAAATTTCTTAGTGTGAAGTATAATTAGTGTTTCCTACGAATTTAGTAAGGCCATCATCAACTTCACAGTATTTTTTTCTAACGAGCTTGATTAGTTGCTGTGGTATTTCTAGTTACCTTCTATGTTTTTATTATATATTTTACTAACACAAGTGTTTCTAGATATATTTTTGCAGGTGACATGAATGAAAGAATTCATTGCATAGAAGATTTGCCTTATGCCTTATATGATAGACATCATGGTATATGCTGTAACTGAACATAGTATCATTATCTTATTTTTTGAAATGCAACTCTAGAAAAGATACGAGGCAAACTTGCATCTCTCATATTTTGATCAAGTACCATTTTGCCATCCTTTGAGAGGATCTTTCCTTTGGTCAATTCTGATTCAGTCAGCCCAGGAGTTACAATTGTGATCCCTATGTCTCCTCCAAGCTCAACTCTCAATGTCTCGAAGAAGCTTAAAACTGCTGCTTTACTTGCCTGTAAGGGCCATAGGTGAACAAGTGAGATGAAGAAATAATAAACATAGAATCGGTTTTATCAAGTATGGTGAGATGTTCACAGAGTAGAAAGCCATTCGTGGAACAGGCAACCAGGCTCCAGACGAGGCAGTAACTATTATCTTGCCTCTGCTTGCTTTTAGATGTGGAATTGCAAAGTGGGTACTATACACTGAGCCCCAGAAGTTCGTTTCCTGAAAAGATCTCCAGGAGTGGTGAATCATTAAAATAAGCTGTATCGGCTTAATGCAAGGGTTAAACCAGTATACAGAAGCTGAAAAGTATTAATGAACAAGATTTACCATCACAGGTGCAACATTTGTTATGTCAGGGAATTCTTCTAACATGCTCATTGTGGAAATTCCAGCATTGTTCAACAAATGATCCACTTTCATTGCAGGGTGCGTGAATGCAAGGACAAATTGTCAATTACAAATTGTTAAATTGCTTGTTTGCTATGATTCCCTCCCCCCACCCTGCCATAATGGCTCATTGTATTTACGTACTTTATGGTATATTATAAATGATAGAAGCTTCGTCAATAAATATTCACATGTTTTCATTGTATCATAAAATTCTAGTGTAATGTGGATGATCAACTTACACCCCGGGGGAGCTGGGAGGGGGGGGGGGGGGGTTATCCTGATCAAATTGTTCACGTCATTGTCCTGTGGCTCTCTACACCAATTTAAATAATATCGTGGTTTAATTATATTTTTTGCATCTAGTGTTTGAATGTAAGATGATATCTTTTCTGTACTAAATAATTATTTTGGTTATGAATAATGTTACTGTTGTGTAGCATACATGTAAAAAATCTTTCTTGTAGTTATATTTCTGTTGCACTAATTAATCCTGTAGTAAATTCAATATGTTATGCATTAATGCATATACCCATGTAGTCAATGCAAAGCTTTAAGCATAAACTTTACTTACATCCACCAAAATGATTCACTGTTTCATTGATGAAATGCTTAGATTCTCCAACTTTAGTAACATCTGCCGAGATGACAAGAACATCAGGTGCACCAAAGATAACGGCTGGTTTCAGCAACATCTTGGAGACGTTGCCGCCGTCTGGCTACAAGGGCTAATTTGGCTCCTCTCCTTGCATACTCATATGCAAGATGCTTTATTTGAGGATCAAAACAAGTCAATATCATATTATCATCTGTGAGAGAATGACAAAGTGGTAGTGCAAACTAATACAAAAGTATTTCCAATACAAAAATACACATCAACTTTACTTTGCCAATTTAAAAAAAAAAACCAAGTATTGGGATGCAAACAGATTAACAATGCCATTGGTAGAATAACATGATAAATTATTCTTACTTAAATATTGTCTAGAATTATATGTCTAAAAGACCCGTTTGATATTTTGTAGTGGACTAGTGGTAGAGGTAGAGCCGTAGAACTGATGATTTATTTTAGCAATTACGGAAAAAAAATAAAAATTCATGGCAATATAGGTAATGCTTCTCTCTCTGTCATTTTCTTTACAAATTTTCGTTACCATCTATTATCATTTTAAATGTAGTACTGTGTATGGGGTAATGAAAATTTATGCACGAAACCACATATGTTGGGATTTATTTTCATCGCCATGGTGATGAACACGTACAAGAAATCCTAACAAAAATTACATACAACTCCATTACCATTTCCACGATTTGTGACATACGGCGAAATGACAAATGTGGCGTAGGTTTTTGTAATTGTGATTTAACATATTGCTTTGCCTAGATACAACTAGATTTTGTGCACTTCATTTTTAAAATATTGTTTATTTGACTTTTTACGATCTTCAATCCAAAGTCATAAAATTTGAATCTCACGCTATATGCTTAGAATTTTGACGTGTTAATTATAACAACGATTAGGTTTTCTACTATTCATTCACTATTCATTGACTACGCATATTAATTTAAAAGTAAGGAAAATATAATTAAGTGGAGTCTTATTAAATTTATCATTATACTCTCACAACATCAAGTTTTATATTCCGAAGATATTAACGGATAAATTTTATTAGGGGAAATGCCCAACTCTGAGCCTCTAATTGCTGCAACAATAAAATAATAAACATTGCTTATAAATAATGCTAAAGTCAAACATGTTGCATGTAAAAACGAAAGGAACCATAGAGACAACTCAGACAACAAACAATTTAGGGATAGACGAACCTCGCCAATGCCGGAGGATGCTCCGGTAATGAGCACAACTTTTCCGGACACATTTTCGCTGAAGATGAAATTTAGACTTGAGAGAAAGAACTTCAAAC